TTATATACTTACGCGATTCTAACGTCTTTTGTATGAAAACGACGACGCTCAATGATGATGATGATGCACATCTGGAAGAATGATTTACATCCTTAAGTGATAACCTTCCCATTTCGTGGAGAAGTTACAGTTACCGGTGAACTACTAACAATATTGACATACGCTCCAATCTCCTGTCATTTTTACTCACCAGTAATGAGAAAAATGCAGAAGTGTTTTCAGTAAATCTAGATGATGAGAAAATTGTTTTTCTTTACGTCAGGAAGGTAGTAAGTAGGAAAATTCAAAACATGTCATTTTATTTTCAATGTACTCTAAGAACAATCTGAATTTTTCTGAAAATCGAATTTTTCAAGGAGTTGATAACTTGTAAATTTTAAATTTTGTTACTGTAATGAATTCATGAGTGAAATCCAAAACTATTTCTTTTATAATTTCGAATTTAGATTTCCATTTTTTTATTTATTCCTTCACCGCCTACAAAGGACTGAAAAGAAAATATTATAAATATTTTGATATCATAAGATATAATAATAATATAATAAACATTAATATATAAACAGATAATATATAATAATATAAAAATTATTATAATATTCTAATTACTAAATTAAATTTAGTGATTGCCAGATTTACTGGCGGGAAGAAAATATTATGCAAAAAATATTGCAAAATTCATATTTTTTTCTCAGTGTAGGAGGATGTTACTTGCTCAATAAGTACCACTGACAGCTGCATTCAAATAATTGATTCAATTATTCAAGATTCAATTAAATTGAAAACCCCATCTTCTGCGGTTGTTTGCTTCAATTTATCAATGAATTAAAATAAAAAGAAATGAATAGAGAAATTCGTGATAAACTAGTTCAATTATAAATTTCATGTGATCATACTCCCAATACTCCCATAAGACTGATTATAATTATAATTTAAAATTTACTTATTATATTATATTTATTTCTTATAATTGCACTTATAAAATCACTAATGCCAAATATATTCTCTTGTGGTTATTAAATATTATTGGCAAAAGAAAATTGTTTTTCCCAGTGCATTTCTCTGTCATGAGGATGAGAAAAAAAGGTGAAGTGAAATGTTCCAAGTTGGCACGAGACAGAACAGAATGATCCAATGATCTTCGGTTAGAGTGATGGTCACTCCGATAATTTTATAGAACCGTATGTTGAATGTGCGATGGTCACAGCTGTCGTGGCATTCTGTGGGTAGATGCTGAGAAGAACGTACTATTTCATAGCCAAGTAATAATTTATCACTCTGTTAGTCCTACGATAGTATCAGTGCAAATGAATGGAATTTTTCTTCTTTGTTGCTACAAAGAAATAAAAAGAAATAACGGAATAGAATTGGTGGTTTTAGTAATGAGTAAAAGTGAGGGACTATTGTTCTGTTTTTATTCAAGTGTTTGTGGACAGTATTTTGCAAGCACACGTACACATTTTTTCGCGATAATACCGCATTCATAAAAAATATTAATGTACGTAACCGTTACTTTTAATTATTACAAGTTACTTCAAATTCTTTGAATCAAATTTTTTGTCATTTTTTGTAATATTTTTATTTAAATATATAGATTTTTTGTAATGTAATTTTTATACACCCGTCTCGAGAAAAATCCAGTAAAAATTATAAATTATATTTACTTGTTTGGCAATCGCGTTGTGTTTTTGCGGTGAAAGGAAATTACCCTCGGGCTTACGGAAATTTATCAGCTGCTTGGTACCTGTTATCTAGGCATCCGAGAAAAAATTACCGAACTTTAGGTCATTTTTCTCAGACAGTTGATCTTTATCAGGCAGTCAATATTTTTATTATGAAATTAGTAATAATTATCTAGCTTTTCGGGAAAATTATCGATAAGTTAGATTTACATTTTCTCGAACAGTTGGATTGTTTCATTGGTTTTTTCTAGTTTGATCATGTTTTTTGGAAGATTAGAAAAAACGCAAAATATGGTAAATAATAATAAACCACGAAAATGTTGTTTTCTCACGTGGAGTTCACCGATAATTTGTTTAAAAAATTGAACACGTCATTTTTACTATAAGAGTATCAAACATATTGAATACATAAATTCTTCATTAATTATATTAATTATTATATATTAATTCATAAATTCGTCATACGATTCCTAAGCCTAAGAAAAAATTCATTTCCCCATGCAATTTCATAATGTTACGATCTTTTTTAATGAATGGTCATTTTCTCATTCATTGAGATTACTCACATCAAAATATTACTGTAAATGTGTATTTGAAAATTATTTACGCATTCGACAATAAATAATCTTCTTTCCTCCCACTCATCAATCCACGATTGAATAACGAAAAAAAATTCTCTATTTTAATTTGTAAATCCAATCCCCC